TTCAGCAGCCCTTTGGGAAGGGGGGCATACGCAGGACCCGAGCATACAAACCGGCCCCGCTGCTCTCCGGCCTCCTCCAGCACAGCTCCGGCCAGCGGGCACCTGATCCCACTGCACCAAGCTGCACGGTGACACCGCCCTGGGAGTGCAAGGTGACACCAGAAGGGTTTGCAGCCAAAGGTCCTTCCCAGGCTGAAAGCTCTGTGCTGGCAGGGACTACGCAGACAGGAGAGGAGGTCCCAGCTCATCAGTACTCAAGCACAGGCACTGCAGGGGACCACATCAGCAATATTTTTAGCTTGATTGTTAGGGTTTTTTTTTTGCATTTTCACCCTTCCAGACACCTCCCCGTGGGTCTGTACAGCTGAGTCACTGCTGGAACCTTCCAAATGCTGGGGCGCCAGCATCACAACAGCTCTGCTTGGCAGCGCCATCCCTCCCCAGCCCTTAGAGACAGCCCAGCACTGATGCAGCCTCACCTGCTCTCAGGACACCCTGATGGAGACCCCAGCCCTTGGGACTAGGCCAGCTGCAGCCCCCCAGGCCTCAGCACTGGGCATGAGGAGCGCCCAGACACAGTAGCACCCTCTCCACACTATCCCTCTTTCCACCACAGCACGGCCAGGCCACCTGGAAGCATCAGTATCTGCCGACTCCTCAGACCCATACAGCTTTCAGACAGAGGAGCACTCCTCTGGCACCCAGAGAGGAGTGTTTCATAGCCTTTCAGAAGATGCTCATGAACCACAAGATCTCCCCTCCCAAGGAGCTCCACATTGCCACTCCAGGGCCCTTACGAAGGAGAAAAAGATGAGGCTCTGCAGATGTGGGAGGTGTGGGCAGGCTGAAGCAATACAACAGCTGTGCACAGATACCAGCGTTTCACTTCTCCAGCCAGCATACACCATCCCCACAGCTCTCGGAGCAGGAGAGTTAACAGCAGCCCAGGCCAAGGAGCACAGGAGCAGATGCAGCTGCTGCACACTTGGGAAGGGAGGGTGGGATTGAGAGGGAGAACACGGTCTCAGGCCCACAACACCCCCAGCTATACAGCCCTAGACTCTCTGCACAGCCTCTGCAGGCTCCTCTGTAGAAGCAGCACAGCTGTATTTGAGTTGGTTTTTATGCCCAAATCCCCTCTCACATACCAAGGGGAATACCAGGAGTGAGAAGTGAGGAAACAGGCCAGACAGTATTGGGTGCCATGTTCCAGCAGCTGTTACCACAAGTTGTCACAAATACCCACTGGGTGCTGATCACCCGAGCCTGGGGTTAGATCCTCCCTACTGCTCTTCCCAGGCCTCTGCGGCAGGCAGGCGCTCCAGCACGATGCACTGCAGTCAGTGGGGGCACCCGATACCAGATACACCCTCTGCGAGCAGGGAGGTCACTGGAGCACCTTGAAAGGAGTCTCACTCCTGAAACCAGAAGCCCCTCCACCCTTGACAACGAACCCCCCACCACCACAGTCCACTCAGCCCCATCACCCAACCTGCGAGGTGCAAAGCCTGCCACAGGCTTGTGCAAGCGCTGCTCGCCTGCCTGCCGGAGCGCTGCAGAGACATCCGCGCCTCTGCCAAGACAGCCTGGCAGGAAGCCGGCCAAGAGAGCACTGGAGATGGCTACAGCAGATCAGGTGGGGCTGGGACATCCACACAGAGCAGCCGCTTCCGTCTGCGACAGCCCTTGTTCTGCAGCACTATTGTGCACCAAGCCCCGGGTGTTGTGGTTGTTAGCAGCAGAAGCATTCAGCACGGATATCACCAGCTTTAAGTGTGCTCTCTACATTAAAGATCCTATAAGATTGAATCAGTGCCCCATAGTCTGCTAGCAACCGTAAGAGGCCCAGTGCACAGCTGAGGCACCTGCCCAGGCCACTACACAGTAATAACTTTCACTTCTCCCTCCTCCTTCAAGGTTTTGGCTGACAACGAAAGGAGGACAGATACCAACTGCACGGTATTCCCTGGTTCATTAGGGGAAGCCCATAGGACCATGTGCTGGAGCAAAGCAAGGCTTAATAAAGCTACCACAGCCTGACTGCAAGCAGACCCTAAGTGCCTGTGTTTGGGCCCACACACAGGCCTGCACGCTGAGTCTTACAAAAATTAGATGTAGAAACTTGAGTGAGCTGTGCTGATGAAGCTGTTGTTTCAAACCTCACTACCCCACATGTGTTTTTGGGTTTTTTTTTTTTTGTTTTACAACCCATGCAGCAACATTCAGGGCTGCGTCTCAGCAACTCTCCCTATCCCGAGGGCAGCATCCCCTGGACAGAGGTGGTCAACAGCACCCCCTCACCCCCCCAAATATCTATGTGGGCAAACTGCACTGCCCAGGCCACCCCCAAAGCTATCTACATTCCTGTCAGCACCAACTTTACGCCTGGGGCCTCCTGTGTCACCCAAGTCTGTGCGGAGATGCACTCCTCTTTTAACAAAGCAGCAGTGTGCTGCTATAAAGGGATGAGTTTCTGTAGCAACCAGGCTGAACTTGTAGAAACTCTGCCAAAGCACTAGATCTTTCCATGGACTGATACTTGAACGAACACACCACCATTTGTGAAACTGGTTTTTACAGCCCTCAAAGGCTGGGAAATGAGCTCTTCCCTCTGTTTTACTCCCCTGGTCTATCACCAGGCTGAGGAGATGCGTTAAGTTTGTGCACGCAGCACCCCTTTCTCCTCCTGCAATTTTGGAGAGAAGGATGCTGCCTCTGGAAGAGTTAACAGAACCCTGCAACACTCCAGGGGAAGCACCCAGCATCCCAAAAACTCCCCATCTGATCCCAGCTGCAAAACTAGACTGGAGAGGACTGAGGGGGGAAGGGCAAACCAGCCATCAGCGCGTGGCTGCAAGCCCACACCCTGCTGATCATGTAGGTTTGCGCTGGACCAAAAGAGTTAAAGCAAGAAGCCATTCCACTGCATCTCCTCCAACCCACTGCCAGGAGCAGACCGCTATTTCGAGTTAAACGTGGGAGTGGAGAAGGATCCCTCCAAGTCTTCCACCCAGCCTGCAAGCCGCCGGCTGAAGTTGTTAGTCGGGTGCCGGCTGCAACTACCACACCCCACAGGCAGAGTTCAGCAGCCGTAGCGTAGGAGCGAGCAGTGGTGCCTGGACTTTCGCAGTCAGGCAAGGAGGGGGTCCCTCCGCAAGCACGTGCACCCCTGCCTGCAGAGCTACCTGCCACCAGGGATTTTCTCAGGCTGACAGAGTGAAGTTCAGCTTCGCTCCCACCCCGGCATGTTTAGCCTCCTGACACCACACCCCCCACCCACTCCCTCCGAACACAGGGAGAGGATTTCTCCTCTCTCAGCGAGGTTATTCCTCTTCCACTAGCATTACAGCACTGAGCAAAACATAAGCCCGGGCACTTCTTGTCTGCAGTGAACTGACAGCAGAGCAGAGGGGGCTGTGGCACAGCCAGCCACAGCCTCCCCAACTCAATTGCCACATTACACAAGCATTACGGGGCAAGAAGCCCCCCATTAGTAACAGCCAGCACCTCATCACACAAGCAAATGGCTCTGCATTAGCTTTAAAATGGCCAAAAATAAAAGGAATCCCAACAACTGTTGCTGTGTGTGTCAGCAGACTCACCGGACTGTGTGCTGGTTTGTGCTGCAGCGTCAGAGTCCTGGGTGCTCCAGGGTCTGTCCCACCCTGTCAGGTTGAGGGACTGCAGGCCAAGGCACAGATCGTTGGTGTCTGGGAGGCCACGGGAAGACTCTTGTGTGGACGTGGGGAAAAGCATCCTGCTTGCCACTGCTTCTTCAGAGTCCTGGAAGTCTGCTCAGATTGAGAACAAACAGAAGCTTGAGAGTTCAGGGCTGCTTTTTTCTTTTTAAAGAAGGAGTTTTCCGAAGCGTTAAGCCCTGAGCCAGGTCTCGTGCCGCTCTGAAGCCACAGCTTCTGCAACTAGCAGTTGCACCCCAAAAGGGAGGGCTACCATATGTCCAGAAACCAGCCCCCCACCCCCCTGAGCCCCTCCACCTTCCTATCCCGTCTGCATTACTGACTGGGTCAGCATGTGATCAGGCTGCTGATGCTTACTGTGCTGACAGTGACGTCACTCAGCCATGCAAGAGAACTGCATCAGCTCTTACAAAATAAAGGTAAGAAGAAAGGATAAGATTTCCCCCAAAAGATGAGACGGCAGGCAGGAGGAGAGAGGTGCAGCTCCAGTAAATCGAGGGAGGCAGGCAGCACAAAAGCAGGGCTCCACAATACGGCACGCAGCAGATGAGAGGCTCGAGGCAGCAATCCCCCCAGCAACGACGATAGCAGCAGCGGCAGCGACAGAGCAGACAGTTAGTTTTAGTGCTACCCAGCTCTCCTGTCCCCGCCTCCCTCCACCCACAAAACCCAAAAACACTTTAGTCCTGGACAGACTCCAGCTGCTGGCTCCAATTCAGAGCCCAATGCAAAGCTTCGCAATTCTGCTAGCATAATCTATTTGGTTCAACTTGGCCACTGTGCCTCACTGACTCTGCATTGTTTACCACTGACTAACAAGGATAACCTTCAACCCCCCACCTACCCAGAGAGAAGCCCATTATCCTGGGTCCAGCCCGAGTGGGCACATCACACTGGTACAGGGAGAAGAGGACCGGCTGGAGCACAGGACCCATTTCACATCAGGAATTTTGCACGGCCTGTTTACCTTCCGCCCGCCTGGTCCCCCCCTTTCCCAGCCCTCCCCTCCCCTGCGGGGTGTTCACAAGCCTACGGTACTGGAGACGCCGGATTCTTGCCTCGGTTTAAGCCTGTGCCAACAGCCTAAGGAAACGCAGCAGGTTCATAGTCTGAGAATTCCAGTTTAATGCGGGGATCTGGGGGCTGATGAAACCACAAGATGCTCAGCTGTGTTACCCGAAATCTGAGTCAGAGGGCATTTATAAGCCAGCTACCAAGCAGCAGCAGCTGTCTCCTCCTCCTCCCCCTGCCCCCACACCCTCCCACTGTGCCATCAGATGTACACCTCGCACACACCACTCCCGGCTCTTCAGCAGGGCGCTGCAGTGACTCCAGCCTGTCACGTTATCCCTCACGTGCAGCCCTGGCCATCCCAGACAGTGTTCCTGGCCTCCTTTTCCACACCCACATCCCATGCCATTCGATTGCCCGTGACCTAGCGAAGCCCAAGCAAGGCCCCACCATCAGCTGGGTACCCTACATGAGATGCAGGCTGCTGCCACTGCCAGAGGTGGGACCCTCACCTTCCACTCCACTGCAATCTGGGGAATTCTGACATTCCCAGATCACAGCAAGGGAGCTGAAGCACTGCATTTGGGATGAGAGCAGCTAAAGCCGTACCTGCTGGCAACGTGCCGCCTTCCCCCTTCCAGCTGCAGCCTCCTCCACAGCACTTCACCAACCCTGGTGGATGCTATCCTGGTGGGCTTTTTTTTTTTCTACTCCCCTAGTAGTACTAGTACAGGCTGTAGTGCCAATTCAGCCACGTTACTATCAAGCACCTGTAACAGCATCAAATATTCCTCCAAAAGCATCGCACTGCATCTTCAGCAGGGTATTTCTCTGCATTAATTCTTCCAGTACAGTTTTCAGATTGCTTGTTTTGGACAGACCCTAAAAACATTTATAATGCAGCTGTAGGGAGGAGAGGATAAAGGCACATTGCTCAGACAACTCAGTTCCCACAGCAACCATAACTTGCCCATATGAATATGTAACATTTCTGTGTTTATGAAAATGCACAAGTGCTCCACTCCAGCCCAGATCCCTGGCAGTAGGAGACTACCATCCCTTTGGGAACCAGGATCTTGCTATGTTTTATGCCGTCTTCAAGATTAATTCCCACTGAGCGTCATCATCTGGGAATCATGAACACAGAATTATTGACAGAGAGCACAACTCAAATCCCACCCAGAATCCCTCGTGCAACGTCTTGGATGAATCCCACCGCTAAAGAAATAAGGAAAGTAGGGAAGAAATTCATCAGCGACAGGAAGTGCTCATTCCACAGCATCCAGCCACATTTTCCCTAGCTAGCTAAATTTTTCAGGAAATAAGCTCTTTTGTTTAATTGAACCCAATCAGAATCAAGTTCAAGGGATCTGCGTTTCCCTGCGATGACTTCAGTCTACATTAAAGACAACCTCCTTGCAATTCAGCTATGGGTATAACTGCTGAAGCACAGTAGAATTTGGGTAGATAACCAGCATTTTTTTTAATTGGACCTTTCCCCCCTGAAGCAAGCAGCCAGCACAAGCCCGCTTCCCCTTTAACACTCCCAGCCACACTGAAAGATGGATATGGGCCATCAAGGCAAAACACCAACTTAAAAAATAGAATTTAAATGGATTTCTGGAATAGTTCTTTTCAAATTCAGAGCCTGGAAATCTCTTACAAAGCAATCAATTGCTGATGGCAGACAAAACTAATAGGATACTGAGGCAGGAAGAATTAATTTCCTACAAAAATTCAGTCTAAAGAGGCACATCCTCAAGTTAGTCGCAAGCAAATGTCTACCAAATGTGAAACAGTTTCACTTTGCAATCTGACACAGCCCAAATGCTTCCCTGCAGACTTTTCCAAGCCCCAAGAACCAGTGCGAGTCTTTCCAACCTGGATTTTTCCCTGGAGTTGCCACTGGAAGCCAACCATCCTGGCAGAGGGAGCCGTGCTGCGCTGGGCTCGTGCCCGAGTGTCTGGGAGAGACTGAGCTCCCACCTCCTGAGCCGGTTAGGTTTGATTGCAACAGCATCATGAGAAGCAAGTCCTTAGTAAAACACCGCTGTGTAGGTTGTCAAGCAGGCAGCTCTCCTGGATGATGTCCTCCTGTCTGTCCAGGAGATCCCTGGAACCAGGGCACACCTCAGCACAGGCTGGACAGCTTTCCACACCACCGCCCATAGAGAAAGCTGCGTTTTTCAGACTTCAAATACTAGCATCGCATTTAAGACATTTCAAAGGCTTCTTAAAGGTGAGCATCTCCACACAGTCCAGCTCTGAACGTGCAGTTAAACCCTACCAGCCCAGACAGCTTACACAAGCTGCAGCCCCAGCCTCTTGTCCCCACCCCAGCACTCCCTCCCCACTTACACTAGTTTAGGCAGATGAGTTTCCACACAGGAAGCTGGGCTGGGGAGCTGATCTGGTTAAAACCAAGCCACTGGGAGTTAGTTTTAGCCTAGCTCATTCCCCTGATCTGGTATGCAGTGTGGCTGCACCGACCAGGGATTTGAAACAGGAAAATATTTAGAAAATTACAGCCTAAGCCTGTGCGGAGAGGCCAAGCAGGGACTAGCACCAGGAGCTGCGACACACAGGCAGTTTGTGGCAGGCAGGTTAAGATAACATGGGGAGAGCGGAGTGCCATTCAGTCCCTGTCCAATAGCAGCAGCATCCCTCTGTGCCATCAGACTTAGTCTTGAAAGGTAACACGTCATTCAAATGCAAAGACATTCAGAAGTTTGAGCCTTCCAGACCCAGGTCACTTGCAAAGCCAGCTAAAAATCCAGCAAGTGGGATTTAGCTTGAAAACTGAGAAAACTTAGAGAAACGCTGCAACAAAATGGTTAAGCAAGCCTGAACCAAACAAGCTAGATCCCACTCCTACCACCTCTGCAGCCATGAAGAGGTCTCCCTTTGCTCCCACATGCTAATTTCTAGCAGAACCTGAACACAGAGGAAGCCCCTCAAAAAAAACGAGGCCCCTGAGCATACAGAGCAGGGGAAGGATATGCACAACTCAGCTGTGAGCTCTGTTCACTGACAGAGCCAGACTCACCTTTGTGTACAGCTACCTTGTGGACTACAGCTCTGACCAAGGCTGAACTTGCAAACGAAATCCTGCGAAGCAAGAGGCAAAGTGAGCATTTCCGCAGCCTCCAGATCACGAATGGGAAGGCGGCTCACAGCAGAAGCATTGTTTTACCTTTCACACTTCTTTACACCTCCAGTTGTAAAGCCTGGGAATTGCATCCCTGAAAATTAAGCTTCTCAAGTACGTTTTGCACACAAGACAAACAAATCTCAAGTGAAAGCTTTTAGAGGATGAGCCAATTGTATTCCTAAGGTACACCGAGGATCATCAGGTACTTAGGAAAGCTCTTGTTAGGCATAAACCTACTAGTTACAAGATCTGAAAAATTCCTCAAGTGGAGACATTTGCTGCTGCATGACCTGTTTCACAGCCAGAGCAAGGAGTTTACCTTATTCCAGTAACCACAAACACTTGAACATCTGACAAGCAATTATTTAAGAAACTAAGGAAGAGGGTACTGCAACTTCACCTTGCTGCTCTACCTACCTCTTCCAAGAGTAGCAGTGAGAGACTGCCACAGGATTACAGCACCAGAACCTGAGCAACGCCACAGCCCATCAGGAAACCTGCTGGATCTTCAGCAACACCATCCAATTTGCAACCGCTGCAGAGTACAAGAGCTCTAGGCCGAGTCTCTGTTCTCTGCAGAACACACCACCATGATTTGCTTCCATTTGCAGATCTGACAAAGAAACCCATTTAATAGAGCTGCTTTCCAGCACAGAAAAGCACTGCACCCATGTAAGCAAAGACCTGTTAATGTGACACTTGAAATATAAAGGCCAAAACCCGAAAGCAGTAGGTGTGCACCTCTTTTGGGGCACACAGGTGTTGAATTTTGCTATTCTGGATGCGCCTACTAGGCATAGGGCATTTATTTGGGGCAAGCAGAATTGTCCTCAGCTGTCAGCTCCAGGTGAGCTCCTGCTAACAGCCCTGCTCTGCCTCAGGCACCCTGTTAACCCCCCACACTCCAGGCAAGCAACACTACAGTTTTGGG